AATTTTTCGAAAATGGCCAAAAACGCTGTTTTTAGGGGTTTCAACCCCTTTTTTCTCGAAAACGTGACGTGATGGGACATTTTTGACCCCGGATTCGTGTTCAGCACGAAAAATCCGTTCAGAAACACCAGGTCCCGTCTTATTCGCAGAAAAAAAGTTGAAATTTGTAGACCAGTGTTATTGATACAAATATTTGGTAAGATACGTGTCTTCTTGTTTTTCATAATCTGTCAGAAAAATACTATGACACCCCAAGGATTATTATTATTTTTTTTTTTTTCATTTTATTGCACTATGTAATTTGCTAACATTTGTTGTTGCTTTTGTTGTCTTAGCTTTTGTATCGAGGCAAGGTCAGATTCACGGTATTTAGCTTGTATAGTTTGATTTTTTTTTTGACATGGGAATAGACTGTGCGTAATAATATGATTTCAATTTTATAAGTTACCTTCGTTTGATCTCATTTGGCTCATATTCAACAAAGAACGGCTCAGTGTAGGCGTGTATCGTTGAAGCGTTGATATATCGCTTCCTTGTACGTTGGCACCCGTAGAATCGCCAGACCGCAATATCACAGAAAATCCATTACTACTGCCATTGCTTGGACCAGAACCAGGCGGCGATGCACATGTATCGTTTTTACACGCGGCAATAGCAGCCGCTCCCTGAGCCCGCAGGAGGGACGTTGGTGGCAAGTGCATGCTACGTGGATCAACAAAGTCGACTATAACCAAAATGAAATATGTTTTAGAAATAATATGCATGTAAAATATGAATAAATTTTAATTTCCTTACTACTATACCCGGCTGGAACAATCATTGACGAACCAGCAGCAACGGAGCGCCCAGAATCCAACATATTGCTCGTTGCTGCTAAATTACCAGCGACATCTACACCAACGCCAATTGACGGTGGCGGCAACTGATATGTGTTGCATTCATAAGCCCCGGCCGAATTTTCCATTTTAATATGACTGACATTCGTCGACAGCAAATCGTTACTGGTCTCATCAAGAATAGATGCTATGTATATTAATGGCAAAAATATTGATTATGGACATTAAAAGTATATGTCTATTTGCATATGTGTATTTACATTAGCATAATACGAATATGTATATTCCTATAGATATTTGTTCTGCTCTAAACCTACCTTTGGAAAGCCTCCACAATTCCTTGGATGAAAAAACACCAGTAGCCAATATTATATCATTACATATAACTCCATTGTAAGGATTGTGGCTGTAACCTATGTATACGTAAAACTGATTAGTTCATGCTATAATTTCTTCACAGAGAGAACTCCCCAGATTCTGACTCAATATTTTCTTGATTTTTCAAAAGAATATTTTGTATGAAGCGCCTTGCACTAACCAAAATTAACATTAACAAACATTCTTTCCGCAACCATCTAAAAGCTTGAAAATGCCTAAAAAGTTATTGAGAAAAACATTTTATCTTCTAATCCTGTCGCAAGAATCAGCCAACACCAACAAGTAAAAATGTGAGGTAAATATATAAGGCTGAAGTCGAACTGGCTTATAACTAGGGCTCGGAATCCCATGCAAAAAAAAAACCTGTATTTGCGCATATTTTAGTATATTTTACAATAAATGCATATAGTTTTTGCATATTTTTGCTTTGTTTTTTTATTTACAACCATTTTAGTGCGAATATCTTCTCTGATAGCCAAGCAGCCATTAAGTAAGCTGACCAACCGTCCTCGTTTGAGGAGGATTGTCCTCCTCAAAAATGATTTTTCCTCCTCAAAAATATTGTCCTTCTCTGTCCTACTTTTGAGCAAAAATGTCCTCCTTGTCCTCCTTTTCAAGTTTTATAGAAGTGATGAAATTTTCAAAAAACTTCATTCAGAATATTATTACATACATATTTCCTAATCGTACACAATCATTGTATTTATATAAAAGACGTTTACAATTTTTCAACTTTCAGTTAAATGATGTAAACTTTTGATTCAACTAACCGCCTGTGAAAGTTGAACATACCCATCCCAGGATCCATCTTTCCGATAAAAAAAAAAAGAATTATTGAAAAAAAATAATATTACGACGAATTGATTTGTGTTTTCCACAAAATTTCGACGTAGGAGTGAAATAAACAATAGTCGCAAAACAATATATATATATATATATATATTTGGACGATCCAAAATAACTAACCTAGCGAATTTATGGCCTTAAAATGCCTTATTTACTGAGAAGGAAATTCTCCCATTTGGAAACATTTTTATTTAAATTTTAAAACGTGTCGGTGGCCATTTATAATTATGCAACGCAGTGTACTATTAACTTCCTTGACTTGTGTTTAGAGAAACTTTAAATTGTTACTTTATTCGTTATTTATGTGTTAAAATGAAAATAAAAATAAAAAATAAACAAACATATACTGGATGTATAGTCGCATTTTTAAACAGATTTTTTGGAGTGTATATGGGAAATCTTTGCACGCCGTGGGCGAGAACTTAATGTTAGTATTTAGGCTTCAAATTTTCAGGGAGTTTTTTTTAGGTGTTTTCCACAAAATTTCGAGGTAGGAGTGAAAAAAAACCAATAGCCGCAAACGAATCCAAAATAACTAACCGAGCGAATTTATGGCCTTAAAATGCCTTATTTACTGAGAAGGAAATTCTCCTATTTGGAAACATTCTTATTTAAATTTTAAAAGGTTGTTTTATATGGACTTTTTTGGTAAACAGTTAGACTTTTATTTCAAAATTTTTATCAACAAGTAAAGATGGCTGCAAGTATCTATTAATAAACAACGAATTAAAATATGGCAATTTTTGAGCGAATAAAATAAGATTTTCCCTCTTTTCCCTACATGTACTAACACCGATTTTTCATAATTTATTAGAACTATTATACATTTCTGTGTTATTAGCGAACTAGCGATCGCAATAGCCATAAAAAATCACTGACACTGGAAAATCACTATTTCGCCCATCACTAATGTTCTTGTGGTGTGATTGTACCTGCTGCTTGTGCAACATCAAAAACGATTTGAAAACGATGCTGGTGTCGTGAAATGATGAAATTAGCGCATTTTTTTTAGTAAAAAGTTTTTTGGCGGAAATTCGTTGCACTATATGAGTCAAATCCGTGTTTCTGGAAGATTAAAGTTCTCAATATTGCAGTTGTGAGTTAAAAAAACCATTGTTTAACAAAATGGTAGAAAAATTATGAAATTTTGGCTCTAATCGTTTCGATCTTTTCAGGACCTCTTTTTTAAAGAAATAAATATTGTACCTGCTTGCTGCTATGTTATGTGCTTCAAGCCTGATGGTTCAATCACCTTGGTGGTACCAGCAAGCTGGTGTCGAGTATTTCCCTTTTTACCAAAAAGGGTTTTGGTTGCACACTGGCCGAAATTTATATTTTTCTGGCATAAATTCTAAAAAGAATGTTATCATTTTCAAACTTGTTACATACATATGCTCTTCATGCTATTAGCAAGTTATGGTAAAACTTTTGGGACGATCAGGTAACCTGTACGCCCCGCCTTCCCCTCTCTACTTATATAACGTTGCTTTTGAGCGATAACCTTTTTCAAAACATTTTAAAACTTGCTTAAACCCCTTTAGTATGGCACCCATATTGTAATACATATTTCAATTAACTAATCACCACAGTTCGAAGTTGAATTTGCTTGTTTAAACATGTGGCAGCCCTACTAAATATAGTTCTGAATAAAGCCCTTCAAACGAATTTCGATTGATACCAATCTCCGTCAAACACCTCAAAAATAGCTTAAATATTCAAACTAAAGATTTCTTAGCACTATTTCGTTTCGACTTTTCAAACAGGGGGCAACCCTTACGAAAAAATATGTACTGCACATCTATAGGCCAAGCTCTTGGCACCTTATTTTCTGTAAATTGAATGAACAGTGTAAATCTCATGTCATTAACAAAAAAATTATATGTTTATGTAAGGGTGGCAACCCCGCTAAAAAAATAAAACCTTATTGCACATCCGGGGGCCGTATCCTTTCACTTTGCACCTCATTTTTAGTCCAACTAACTGTGAAGATAGTTGAACTAGCTTGCTAGTTCAATACAAAAATATTGTTTAGTATTACCTATACTTTAGTATTATACCTTGACCTTTATTTTCCATATCTTATTTTGTTTGTTTATTTATTTACAGTCTACAGAATTCAATTCTTTCAGACTAATTAGAACTATTAAAATAATTAATTAAATTGCATAAACAAATGTAATGTAAACTTATTAATATTCAGATCAAAATCTATTAAATTTGAGTATGTATTACAAAGCCTAACACATCTAGGAATTGGTTCATTATCACCATAATTGGTAGAGTGCGTTGCACATTCAACCAGCCGATTATTCCTCAGGTTTCGCGGTGGAATGTATAATTTAAGCAAATTTGCAAGATACGTACAGTTAACACAGCCATTAATAATATTGTATAACTTTGCAAATTATAACTTTCTTCTCTTGATGTTAATACAGAACTAAACTTTATTCACTTACAATCTACCCTAGTTCCTTACTTGCGGTTTGTAGCTACCCTGCAAAAAATTGGGCGACTAATCTCTAAAGAGAGTATTCCGATATTACTCTCAATCGGGTACAATTGGGCATTAATTAGTCCCAACTAGTCTAGTACGGGTACTAATGGAGGTCAATTAGTCTCGACTCATCCCTTATGGGTATAATTGGAGATCACTAACGGGTACTAACAGCGATTTAATGATATGTACGCACTTAGTCAATGAAATTTCATGTGCGGCGTTGGCACACAGAGAGAGTATTCGCCTAACAAAACTGAGCACCCCGGTTCGAATCTCAGCTGGCTCAAATTTTTATTTTTATTTTTTAAAAGTGACTAGTCGCTTTTTATACCCATTTGGGTATAAAGGTGAACAATTAGTCTCTTCATAGGACATGCTCGAACAAAAGCGATCAGTTCATTCCATATAAAGAGATCAAAAGTGGTATTAGTCGCATGCTCCTTTGCGATTGCTCCCGGAGTCATCCCGGATTAGTCCCATTTTTCGCAGGGTAGTCGCTGATTCGTCGATGTGTTTGTATTGGTGTAGATGCGCTGCCCGATCTGGCTGACTTAGTATAGATGCGCCGGTAGCTCAAACCGCCCAAAGTCACGTACGCTATCAGGTGTCCGTTTTGGAATGTATCTGAATGGCAAGACAAGCGTGGGAGTGATTCTGAAGAATTGTCGATCAGCTTGGCAGCTGTGAAGTCTGTTTATAAATATCCAAGAAGCTATGCAGGCGTGGGAGTGATTCTAAGGAATCATCAAACCGCTGTTTTAGCTTTGCAGCTGTGCAATATGCTAACTTATATAAGAATTATATAGAAATATAGGACTGCAATGTAAGTAACTTTTGCCTCCCAATATAAGAGGGGAGGAAACTATGCCACGATAACTTACACAAAGCGATCTTTGTAAATACCTTTTGAACGCGTTCTCTTCTATTTGAATGTATATCGTAATAGGGACTCTATATTAGAGAACAATATTCTAGGCGACTCCTGACTAGTGAAATATAGAGAGATTTCAAAGTAAATGGATCCTTAAACTCTCTGGTGTTCCTTCTTAAAACCCTAACATTGCAAAAGCTTTGGATACCATATAGTCTATATGTTTCGAGAAAGTAATTTTCGGATCAAAGATAACACCCAAATCTTTCATTTCATTGCATCTGGATAATGCGCAGCTATTTAACTCGTAATCGTATACAATGTTATTATTAGCCTTCCTAGAAAATGTAAGAACGTAACACCTATTTATATTCAGTTGTAGCCGATTTAATCTGCACCATTGAACCAGCGCGTCGAGATCATGTTGTACTTTACAACTGAGTAGTCGCGCACAACAGAGAACAACTTCACATCAGCGTACAATAAATAAGCATTTAGAAAACTTAAAGCAATCAGGCGGGTCCTTAATGAATAATGAAAACAGGAGTGGTCCACAGTAGGTACCCCGCGGTATTCCTGACACCGCCTCAACAATAACTCTTGATCCTGCACATCCAATTTTAACAAAGAGTCTCCTTTGTGTCAGGAAGCTTGCGAAGAAATCAAGTAATTTACCACTAGCATCATAGTGGTTTACTTTATGAAACGCTTTGGAGAAGTCCGTATAGATAACGTCCAATTGCGCGCGACTTTCAAATGCGTTAATTACGTGATTTGTTAATAAGGCTAAATTTGTACAGGTTGATTTTCCCGGAAAGAAT